TAATCATGCATATTCTCAGGGTGTACGTTATTTGGGTTCTGCCATTCTCCTGGGAGGGAGGGGGTGGCCAGGGGTTTATAATGCACATAGACTGTTTCTTCTGTCTGCTTTGATGTATCCTTTATGGTGTGTGAAAGGAATACCTTGGGGCCATCTGCCTTATCTCAGCGCGCAGGGAGGAACTGGAGAAGACCTAACAACCTTGAGAGAGATGCCTTATCGGTTGCTTTCCCACAGTCCAGTGTCACCTGTGGATTGGCCTGTTTGAACTGACCGGATGGACAGTTGGGGTGGGGTTATTGTTTTGTGGGTTTAACCTACTGATTTGGGCAGGAAGCCCTCAGATCCTGCCTAGCTTTCCTGCTTTCTGTACCTGCCAATAGAAGTTCCTTTTGAAATGATGCCAGTTTCAAGAGTTCTGCTTTCTTGGTAGGGAAACAGAGGCAGGTCCTTACATTAGGCAGGATCTGCAAAGTGGTCAACCCAGAGGACCAATCCTACCGTGGGGATCGTGCAAAATAATGTCTAATCATGGGGGTGAGAAGAGAGAAACCGAGCGCTTGGAGTGGGCCTCACTGAAGGCTTGCCCGAGCAGCAGTGACCTGGACTCCACCAGCTCGTCCGATGAGGCAGACACTCGCGAGAAACTGAGATGGTCGATCAGAGTGGGGAAGAAGGACAACTGGGACACGAAAGCCAAAAAAGTAACCCTCAGGCATGGCAGCCATCAACCCAGTTGGAAGCGCAAGATGGAGAAGTCGCTAAATGTCAGCGAAGATGAGAGTGAGAGGTCAGCGCGCTCCGACCTCTTCCTCAAGCAAGCCATCGGCATGCTGGTGGAGGCATTCAAAAACCTCCAAGAAGAAGAGGCCGATCCCTGCCGGGGTTCGATAGCCATGGATCGGGATCTAGAACAAGAGGTCCAGGAGAGCGAATTCACAAACCCTGGCCCTTCTGCAAGCACCTCAGAAGCTGCTAGAGCGACAGCCGAGGCCACCACCCCATCCCGTGCCATCCCAGCTGGAGGAGATGGACGCTAAGCCAGAAGGAGGTGGACTCACTCACCTGACCGCAAGGTCCCAGACCTGGGGGTAAAGTACGATGGTTCGCCCTAGTAGTTGGGCTTTTTCCTAGCCCACATCCTAAGCTACATGCACGAATACGGATGGGACATCCCCAGGGATCGTGGGCACATCAGAATTATAACCCTGGACCTGGAAGGTGGATGGTGTCCCTACATAACATTGACACTCCCGAGCTCCGGAATTTTAACCTGTTCATGGCAGCCCTGAGACGGAGGTTCGAGGACCCTCTAGCTGATCGAACAGCATCAATACCATAAAGCAGGGCAGGTGACAAGTAGCCGAGTACAATGAGGAGTTTAGAGACTTGGCGGACCGCCTCAACTGTCCTGAGGAAATCTTGATTAGCCTGTTTAAGGACGGGTTGAACGACGACCTCTACCAGGCTTGCATCGCCCGGGGGATCCAGCACGCCTCAATGGCTGGTACATAATGGTGGAACAGCCGAAATTGACCTAACACGCAGCCAACGGCAATTGGGCTGGACCTGGAGATGTTTCCCCTCAGAAGGGAAAAAAAGAGACGGCAAAGACCCTGGACGCAAACCCACGTTCGACCGCCTGCTTCAGATGTGGCAAAGAAGGTATCAAACAGCCTAGTGCCATTCAAAAGCACCAATCCTGAGGGCAGACCGCATCATGGGGGGAAAACCTGGAAAGCCACCACCGCAAACCTGGGAGACCGCCATGAGAGGCACCGAACGTCATAGAGGTCCAGCCCTTCAAACCACAGGGAGGGGAAACTCCAACTCTGCTGGAGAAACCGCCAGAAACCTCTGACAATGATTCGGATAAGTGGACCCATCGCACCCCTCACCAGAACCATAGAACTGTTCAGCCCAGAGATGGAAGAGAACGTGGCCCTAAAAGTGTTAATAGATTCAGGTTGCACTCTCTGCCTAATTAACCCAACCCTAGTGGGGAATTTGGGGATTCCGTAGAGGAGCATACCTAAAGAATATCAAGATTGGGCTGAGGTTTTCAGTGAGAAAAGGTCCGATGAACTACCCCCTCACCGGCCCACTGACTGTGCCATCGAAATCCTGCCAGGAGCTAAACCCAAGCTCTATTCGATGACTCCTGGAGAGCTCGAGGAGCTGCAGAAGTTCATCGAGAAGAATTTAGCACGGGGGTTTATTCAGCTGGCACGGCCAAAGACGTGTTATACCGAGAAAAGAAAGACAGGTCTCTATACCTGTGTGTGGATTATAGGTCTCTAAACGCTATTTGCGAGAACAATGTCTACCCCTTGTCATTAATGAAGGACATGCTGGTTCACCTTTCCAAGAGGAAAATATTCTCCAAACTGGATTTAAGAGAGGTTAGGATAAAGGAAGAGGATGAGTGGAAAACAGCATTTAATTGCCCCTTGAGGTGCTTCCAGTTCCGAGTCCTGCCTTTCAAGTTACAAGGGGCGCCTGCAGTATTCATGCAGCTGATAAATGAGGTTCTCCAGGGGCACTTGTACAAGGGGGTTCTGGTGTATTTGGATGACATCTTAATATTCACCTAAATGAACAAGGAGCATATCAAATTGGTCAGAGCAGTTTTAAACAAGCTACGCGCAGCATGCCTCTGTGCCAAGCTATCAAAGTTCGAGTTCCACAAGGAAAAACCTGATTACTTGGGTTACCGGATTTCCCACCAGGGGATAGAAATGGACCTAGAGAAGATACGAGCAGTATTGGAGTGGGCACTGCCTTGCACGCAGAAGCAATTGCAAAGCTTCCTTGGGTTCATGAATTTCTACAGTTTATTTATTTATTTATTTATTAATTGCATTTATATCCCGCCCTTCTCCTTACGGACTCAGGGCGGCTGACAATTGAATAAAATACTAACATATATACATATACTTAATTAAAATTTGATTAAAATTCCCTCTTTCGCCCAAATTGCCCTCCCCATCACAAACGTACTAAAAACAAAAGGGGTGGGAAACTGAAACCTAGTCAGCCATTGAAATGGACTATGGAGTGCCAAGCAACTTTCGAGAAATTAAAAAGACTTTTTCGGCTGAGCTGGTGTTAAAACACCCATACCCGGAGAAGCCATTTGTCATTCAGGCAGACTGAAGCGATGTGGCGGTGGGGGCGATGCTGCTGCAAGAGAATCAGGAGAGGAATTGCAATCTTGCGCGTACACATCCAAAAAGCTCACTGAAACGGAACAGAGGTGGGCAGTATGGGAAAAGGAGGCATATGCTGTGCGATGGGCTCTGCTCACATGGAGACATTTCCTGGAGTAAAATCCCCTTTCAGAACCCTGAAGCACTAAAAACCCCAAGGAAATTTTCCCCAAAACAAACTCGGTGGTCCCAGCATTTCCACCGATTTGATTTCTCAATTAAGTACATCCCGGGAGGGAAAGAACTTTTTAGCCGACACCTTGTTGAGGATGCCGCAATACAATAGCGTAAAATCCGACATAATCAAACACTTGATAACCCCAAAACAATTAGCAGGCCCTGTAATGAGAGCTCAGGCAAAGAAACCAAGGCCAGGGACCAGTAACATAGAGGCTCCGACCACCACAAAGGAATTCCCTAGGAAAAACCCACCTTTGAACAGCGAATCAGAGATCGAGTTTAGACAAGCATTAGAAACCGACAAATGGTTCCTTAACCATAAGAACCTTTGTTCAATGAGAGACAAACTGCCCTGGGTAGGAGAAAAGTTATACGTGCCAAAAACCCAGAGAGTAAAGATCATGCAACTCTGCCACGACTCGAAAATGGCGGGGCATTTCAGGTTCGTGAAAACTCTCCACTTGACCAAAAGGCAATTCTGGTGACCATCTATAAAAAAGGACATTGAAAGCTATGTGGCAAATTGCCCTGTCTGCATAGCAGCAAAGTGGAGACAGGGGAAAACGCCAGGATTATTACAAGTGGTGGCCAGCCCTTCGGCACCCTGGAGAGAAATCTCTATGGATTTTATAGTAGAATTGCCAGGAAGCGCAGGGAACACTGTCATTTGGGTTGTGACGGACCTATTCTTCAAACAGGTCCACTTCATACCCTGCCAGAAGATTCCCACTGCTAAAGCATAAGCCAGATTATTTGTATTACATATATATCAGCTACATGGGGCCCCACAGCGCATTATATCAGACAGGGGGTTCCAGTTCACCTCAGAGTTCTGGAAAGCTTTTTTGTACCTACTTGGTACCAGTCAAGGATTGTTATCTAGTCATCATCTGCAAACAAATGGTGGGACAGAACGTTCAAATTCAGTACTGGAACAATAGGAAAATATGGAAAAGAGCCAATTTGAATGAAATATGTTACGAACAAGTGAAATTGCAAATGCCAAGAGCTAATATTTTATATCACTTGACCAACTATGAAGCAAGACAGGCAAGAAATTCAAGGGAGCAAACATACAAAAAGTCTATAAAATATAAATTAATTTATGCAGAAGATTAACTGTAAAAAATAAGCTAGATCAAGCAGAGCAATTAATAGGTCCACAGATTCATATAACAGTTTCTGCTTGTAGTTTCACATGTTTTGCTAGACAAAGAAAAGTTTTTGAAAATAGGAATTTGCAGATTCCAAGGGAGACACATTTTTATTATCTTCAAACTGGACCTCTTGAATCAGCCTACAGTGATTTTACATTCTCCCATTTAATTAATTATTAAAACTCATTTTTCCAATAAAATATATTTTGACTGATAGATTCAATTAAGGCAAGCCTGTTCAAATCTTATAGGATTAGTCTGCAACTTTTCAGGTGGTAAAAACTATTGTGAAATTTAATACAGTATGAGTGCCCATTTCTTAAATAACTTTTATGAAAAATGAAAATCTTACACATTTTTATGTGAGGGGTTTTTTTGGGGGGGGGATATTGGGTGCAAAAGAATCTCTATTCATTTGTTCAAAAACAGATGACAAGCTCATGTAGTTACTCACACCACATCTCGAGAAGCTCCATGCAAAAGCAGCAGCTCCACAATTTCTATATGTCCATTCCTGGCAGCATCGTGAAGTGGCATATCATTCTGATACCCAGTCACATTCAGCAGTGCCCCATGTCTTATCAGCAATTCAACTATCTGCTTATGTCCATGATTACAGGCTTCATGCTAAATGTTGAATTGGGAAAAAGAAAATATAGAAGTGACAGAATAAGAATTGGCTCAGTTAAAAGCTGAACTTGAAAAAGCAGGAAAATGATGCCTCTAAATTACAGATTTTTATTTATTATAATCAAGACCGACTCCCAGATAGCTTGCAGGTATAATTAAGCATTCTAGGAATCTTTGCTATGAGCAAAGGAAAAAAGCTTATATTTGAACTTCACCTGGCAGAAAAAAATGAACACATTTTAACAAAATAACTATCCTTAATGTATTTTACCGCTTTCCAGATTCTGCTTAGACCAGGGGTGTCAAACTCAATTTCATTGAGGGCCGCATCAGCATTGCGGTTGCACTCAGGGGGGCGGGGGTGTGTGGCCAGGGTGGGTATGGCCTACTGGTTGGGTATGGATGGAGTGCATGTGGCCTACTGGGTGGGCGTGCCAGCTCTACATCATTCGCGTCAAGGGTGCCTGGGCAGGAGTGGGACAGATCTGAGGGTCTCTGGAAGAAGGGGGTGGCACAATGGCAAGTGCAAAGGCATGGTCCACTGGAGGAACCTCACTGTTCCTCTCAGGCCATGCGGGGGAGGGGGGCTGGATGATGGTGCGGGCTGCCGGGAGCCCTGGACAGCAGAGGCCCTTGAGGACCCATGTCACCAAGCCCAGCCCCACTTCCCCAAGGGGGCGCCCAGCTGCACTTACCTCCTCCTCAAGGCTGCTGCTGCTGTGCTTGCTCTCCTTAGCCAGGTTGCTCATGATGGGTACAAGGGCAAAGTCAGAGGGAGGCTCATTCCCTCTCCATGGGAGGAGACCCAGCTTTGTATCCAAAACTTCCTTAGCAAAGGATGGGAGACCCCCAGGATAAGCCAGGAGGAGGGGGCAAGGGGATGGTGAAAGGGCAGCAGGGCAGGACTGAGGCAGGACTTCCCTGAGACCCTCCCTCTCCTTCTTTCCTTCCTTCCTTCCTAAGTACAGAGTGGTGGGAAAATATTTGAGATGAGGGAAGGAGAAAAACAGGCAAGAAATGCAGCTGGGGAGGTGTCACCCTTCGTGAGGAATGAAGAAATGCACCATCGCCTGGAAGTGGCCAGCACATGGCCTTCACATACTTCATATATCTGGCTTGGTGGGCTCTGGGGGAGGGGATGCCATGAGCAGCGTGAGAGTCAACGTTACCTGCGCAATGCTGCCCAGCTCCCAGCCAGCCCGGTTTTGGCAAGCAGCAGGGCACTTTCCTCACAATGCCAAGACGCTGATCCGGGCAGCGCAAATCCAAAAAGAAGCATGATGCCACCAGCCCTCAGCCTGCCCGGTTTTGGCAGGCAGCGGGGCGCTTTCCTCACAGCGCCGAGAGGTTGAGCCGGGCAGTGCGAAGCTCGCCAGCTTTGCACCTTGCTGCCTGCTGAAATTGGGCAGGCTGGGGGCTAGGCAGCATTGCACTTCTCATCAGATTCACGCCACCCAGCTCAGCTCTTGGCACTGTGAGGAGAGCGCCCCGCTGCCTGCTGAAACCGGGCAGGCTGGGAGCTGGGCGGTCTCGCTTTTTTTTTGGGATTTGCGCTGCCTGGCTCAGCCTCTCAGCGCTCTGAGAGCGCCCCGCTGCTTGCCGAAACCCCTCCCCCAGAGCCCATCAAGCCGGATATGTGAAGTAGGCGAGGGCCATTTGCTGGCCACTTCCAGGCGATGATGCATGTCTTCATTCCTCACAAAGGGTGACACCTCCCCAGCATGCACCCAGGGGGGTGGGGCTGACGTGGCAGGGGCTGGTTCTTCGCTGTTTCCAGACGGCCTTGTGGAGCTAAGACTGAATGCATTTCAGCATAGATGGCCACCACGAAATTGTACATTGGCTCCCGGCTGGCCTGGGCCAGGGCCAAAGCAGCGGGGGCCGTTCCCTCACTGTTTCCAGGATGGCTTCGCGGGTTACATGAAACCACTTCCGGGCCGCATCCAGCCCCCGGGCCTTGTGTTTGACATGTCTGGCTTAGACTTTTAAAATCCATTTCACTTGCTTCTGAAAATGCAATAGAAATTCACCTGAAGAAAGAAACTAGCTTTATTCAGACACAACAATGTAGGAACAAATAACAGGAAAAGCAAGAGAAAGAGGATCTCAAAACTATTTGAGTTTATTAAAACAAATGAAGTTTTTCCTTTTTTAGGGCAAACTGAGAGAAAAAAGTTCATCTAAATCATCCCTTGTATCACTTAGTCTTAACAAGAGTGAAATAAAGAACAAAGGAAGAATGGAAGAAATGAATCATTTAAATTACCAGTGGTGTCCAACCAGCATAGTCTTTAATGTTGGGATCAGCTCCTTTTTTCAACAAGCATTCAACAGCAGAAAGATTACCCTAGAAAAAGGAAATGAAAACATAAAGCATTAAAGTTGATTAAACTTTAACAATCAATTTAAATTTATTGAAGATCTATAAACGCAAAATAAAAAATAGGAAGATCAGTAACGGAAGAGGGAATCAAATATCCAACACAATAAAGTAAAACATGAGAAAGTTTTTTAGAAATACAAATTTCTAAAAATCACTCTTTATATTAAATCATGATAAATATATATTTTAGTTAAAGTAACTGATATGCTGATTTCTGAGTTCTTTGGTTTATTTCCCTATATAATTGTTTATTGTTTATTTCCCTATATAATTGTTACAACCCTTTCTTACTCCTCTTTTAAAATTAAATTTTCCTCTCCATTATGAAAAATGCCTGAAATATTCTATGAATTAAAAAAATGATGCAAGTCTAGAATAATCATGATAAAAATACGATTACCCAAATTAACTGTAATCATGATAACAGACCTTTGGAAGCACTAACACATACAACTGGTGTTGATTTTTAGCCACAGGTCTGCCTCCACTTGGAATTCAGAGTCCACCTTGTAACATGTGTCAATTACCTATCCTCTCTCAAAACAAGTCTAGCAGTCATTAATGTAGACATATGCACTCTTGCTAAATATTCATTCATTCATTCATTTATTATACCTATTTCTATATTGAACCCCTCATTAAGCTGAGAAACATTTATTAAATGAATGAAATTGATATGCACTTCACAAAGTAAAATATCTGGGTATTATCAAGTTTAATGTGAATGATGATTGTATGTTATTTCAAAATAGCCATGTGAAAGTATGGAATAAAACGAAGGACAGGTTAAGATGGGAAGAATTGTTGGGAAGAATTCCTATGGTAAAAATGAATGTACAGGTAATCCTCGACTTACAACCACAATTAAGCCCAAAATTTTTGTTGCTAAGTGAGATATTTGTTAAATGAATTTTGCCCAATTTTAAGACCTTTCTTGCTACAAATAAGTGAATCCCTGCAATTGTTAAATTAGTAACATTTTTTAAAGTGAATCTGACTTTCTCATTGACTTTGCTTGTCAGAAGATTGCAAAAGGTGATCACATGACCCTAGGACACTGCAGCCGTCATAAATATGAGTCAGTTACCAAGTGTCTGAATTTTGATCATGTGACCATGGGGATGCTGCAACAGCTGTAAGTGTGAAAAATGGTCATAAGTCACTTTTTTCAGTGCTGTTGTAATGTTGAACAGTCACTAAATGAACTGTTGCAAGATACCCAGCCTTCTTTGTGTACATTATCAAGAAGCATGAAACTAAAAATCGAAGTGATCAATCATTTTGCAAAAGCTCTTTATTGCTTTTTGTTATTTGTAAATTAAAAAGACTAGTTAAACATGTTAGCAGTAACTTTATCCATAGATCTCTTGCTTTACTGGTTTTAGAATAATATTTTAGAGCTAACTTTTGGTATGGTTGCTCCATGATCCCATTCAGTATATTCATATGAAAAATAAGGTTTGTATGTATTTATGTACATTGCACAATGTAGAGGAAATTTTCCAAAAAACCAGGAGTGCATGACATGTTTGCAAGAACAGAGATTTTGTCTGACATGAAAGCTACTTTCATTTTAGTTTTAATGAGGAATAAAAAAAAACATGGATTCCAGTTTACCACACAAATGGCTACATTTGTTTCAATTTATTAACATAGTTCAACAGTAAACTCATCAAACTTTGGAATCCTTTTTCAGAACCAATGTGCTTTTAGGATATTTACTATGAGTGTCAAAGTTGTAAAATAGGAAAGACCATCCTGTAATTCCCATTTAGATTGATCTGAAATACACCAACATATTTAATTTTAAATTCTTTTAACAGTCTTTCTTAAACAATCCAAAAGCAGAACTCATTTAATTTTCATTAAGTTTGGTAAATTAAGCCCTACATAGTAATAAAAATATAGATTTATCTGATAATTAATGAAGTCCCAGAAGAATGAAATGTAATTTCCATTTACTCTTCCATGAGACTGTTTCTATTACACTGACAAGTTTAATTGGATAAGAAATTCAGAAAATAGTTGCAGCTATTTAATAGTGCAATCCAAATGGAACAATCCATGGCTGAATGGGGAATAGGACGAAACAGAAAACTTTTCTTTCTAGCTAATTCCTGACCTTTCAAGACAGTTTCTTTCTCTAAAGGTTTTTTCTTTTTCTTAAGTCTATGTCTACATGTTTTTTTAGATTTTAGTTTGTACACTGCCTACAATTACTAGAGTGGGATATATGGGCTGATAGTAATCATCACCATTATCATCCCTCATAAAAGAGTTTATTGTACTTTAAAAAGTAGTCTTTGGCATTTTTTTTCTTTTCCATTTTCACAAGTTAAAAGGTTATTTTAAAAAAAATTAAGAAATTAACTAGGAATCAAACAGGTATAAGCTGACCATAAATAAAATCTTACTTACTTAACTTTATTGTGGTCATTAACCAGCACAAGAGAAATGGTATTCAAATATTCAAAATATCCAAAACTAAATTGACAATATTAGCACATAAAGACAAACAATGTTGGCTAAAAGAGAATCTTAAATTAAAATAGGCTAAAAAGCTTTCAAAGACATATACAAAAAAAAATTAAAATTAGCAATCTGGATAATATAAAGTTGGAATAGCTACATAAAATGGTCTTCTGAAAGGGTCTTAAAATCTGGCTCTACCAGCTAGCTTGGAGCCTTGATAGGGGTGCTCTGTGCTGGAGGTGGTTGACAGGGTAAGAAAGAAAATTCCATTCCCATTATTGTCTGTCTTTTTAGCTTTTAGTCTATTTAATCCTTACTAATTTTAACTGTTTTATATTTATCTTTTTACATTTTTAAGCAGCCCAGAGTTGTTACAACAATGAGATTGGTAACATATAAACTTAATAAATAAAATACAAATACTATACAAATATGTATACTTATACCCATTTTCTCTTCCATTTTCAAAGGAAAATGTTATTTTTTAAAATTAAGGAATTAACAAGGGGTCTTCTTCTCTATTTCCTCTTTTACTGCTTTGGGTGTTGAGGGAGATGCAAAGTTCTGGTTCTTGCCTCAACAATTGTTAATTGATGTTATTGTACTGTGTTTAAACAAGGAGTCAAACATGGTAAAAACCTGACAATAAATGAAATCAATTGTACAAAAAGAAACTACTTGCCAATTTCATCAGTGGTACGCTAGCAGAAATTCTTGATCAGTCTACCAGCAAGGACAGGCTAACAAGGGAAAAGACTAAAGAGGGAAGAATGAATTCCTATTACATTTAAACTCCCTTCAGACAAGATAGTTAGATTAAGGGCAGCTGTAATTAATTTCCCACAAATATCCACTGGGAACTAAAGAAACAAAAATCCTAAATTACACCTGCAGCAAATGTAAACTGATCAGATTCCAGAGTCTTCAAATTTGGCCCTTTTATACTTGTGGACTTCAACTCCCAGAATTCCTCAGTCAGGCACACTGGCTGAGGAATTCTGGGAGTTGAAGTTCACAAGTGATAAAAGGCAAAGTTTGAAGACCCCTGTTCTAGCCACTCTAAGTCTCATCCATGAAAGTGAGGAATACCTCAGAAAGGCAGAAATCTGTTTTCAAATTAAATGCACCAAGGAAAAAACAACTACAAGGAAAATGAAGCCCTATAGGAAGACCAATGGCAACATATCATTCAGAGGATAAAAAACCCAAGAAGATTGTCCCTGCCATTGGAGTTGAACAATTGATTTCATATCCTCCCTCTAGAAGAAAACACATATAGGCATCTGGAGTAGGGTCTTCATCAAGTGTTCCAGTGACAGGAAGAAAAGTAGCTCAGACACAGAGGAGTCCACTAGGTACCCTGAAGAAACAAAGTCGTGTGGTGGTGATTGGTGATTATCTTCCAGGTCATGATTGTCTTCCAGATCATGGTTGTCCCAAAAGTGCTTTTCCAAAAGGCAACTGGACTGAAGAAGCTTCTTGGATGAGAAGTGAAACATTTTCAAGGAAAAGCCAAAAAAGTCCAGTTGCTTTTTGGAAAAGCACCTTTGGGATATTCCCAGAGTTGTGGAAGCTCCATAGCTGGAGTCTTCAAGAAAAGATTGGGCAGCTATTTGTCCAAAAAGGTATAAGGACTTTTGCCTTGGGCAGGGATTTGAACTAGAACAGGGCTTTTCAACCAGTGGTACGGGTACCACCTGTGGTACATTGGCACCTGGCAGGTGGTACGCGACCATCCTAGAAAAGTGGTAGCGGGGGAGGGGAATGAGAGCGCCGCCAGGCGGGCAGGCAGGTGTCTTGCTCGGCTGTGCCTTGGGGGCACTTTTTTCAGTCCACTGTAACTTCGAACAGTCACTAAGCGAACTGTTGTAAGTCAAGGACTACCTGTACTTTATCACTTTTTTCCTTTTTTTTTTTTTTGGTCATCAGGTTTTTGACACCTTGCTAAGCGACTGGTGGTACTCGGATATTGCCATATCCTAAAAGTGGTACAATGGGTGAAAAGGTTGAAAAGCCCTGAACTAGAAGACCTCCAAGATCCCTTCCAGCTTTATGATTCTATAAAATAGCAAGATTTTGTTCATTTATAAAATCATTTTGAATGAAGACTAGCAATGAGGGAACTTAGAAATGAACAATACTATCTTTAAAGTTCCTCTTTATTCTCATCATCCTTGAGCTCTCTTGGCAACAGCCTTACATGCATTCCCAATGTTGAAAAGTATTTCTTTTCATGACTATAATATCCACAGAACAGCAAAAGAAACTACGTACATATACTATAATGCAGTATCTCTGGAAAATAAAGGATGTAGACTCTGTTATATTAATTTAATGATTTAGAAATGTCTCTTGCTCTTGTGTAATGGAGAAATAGAAAAATTGTTATTTTACTGAGAAAAAATATTCCAGAGAAGAGATTAGCTTACCTCAATAGAAGCAGTATGGAGTAGAGACTCCCCTTTATGGTTTCTCTTGGTTGATAAGTTTTTGGGAAATTTCTTGAGGAAAACCTGCCTTTCAGCACAATTTCTGGACACTTTTGGAAGTTCTGGGTCACTGGCCCAAGCAAAGTCTTCCAGGTTCCTTAGGGGTGATGTGATTCCAGGCGATGGCAGAGATGGGGAAGAAACTGCATAATCCCTAAAGGGAAAGGCTGCCACAGAATTCTCGGAAAACTGCTCTGAGGCCTTTTTCAGCAATCGTGACTTCCGGTGGATAGTCTCCTCTTTTGTTTTGTGACACTTAGGCAAAGAAATGGGAGAGCCAGCAAACTGCCTGTCACACTTTAACAGAGTTGTTTCTTTTGCCAAGGAAAACCACTCTTCAGAAGTCAGATCTCCCCCAACGTTAGGCACAAGAGAAAAATTGCAATTGTTACTCTTCTCTTTAGGTTTCGCAGGTCTACCATTGCTTGTTGAGAGTTTACCTGCATTCTCTGCAAGCTCTTTCCTGTTTTTCAGCCTCAGTTCTGAGGTACTTTTTGAGCCATAACTGGGGACTGGATCTTTGCTTTCACTTAGGCCTACTTTATAGGTTTCACTGGAGTTTTCCTGTTGGCCCCTGAAGATGTCCCCCTGTTGGCTGAAGTCTGTTAAAGTCTTTTTTCTTAGTTCTTTCTTATATTCTTGCTCAGGTGTCTTTTCCTCTCTGAAAGGCTTCTCATGAGGAGGTGAAGAAACAAAGTCATAGATGGAGGTTAAGTTACAAGACCTGCTGTCCTTGACTGATTTCTTCAGCAGCTCTGATTTCTTTGGGCTTGTCTTCAGGGTGAATTTCATCCTCCTACTGCGAGGACTGAAACTCATTTTGATTTGTTTCTTTTTAGCTGCTGCTTCTTCAACTTTCTGTCCCAAAGTAAACACGTTATCTTCAGGATCTGACAAGGAAACAGGAGAAAAAACATTCAGTTTTATGTACACTATAAGAATATTAACTCTTATTAGTGGGATTATTTGTATCTGCACTGTTTCAATGCACTGTCAGGGCCCTACCAGAACATTGCCTTCAAAAGGGAGGGGGAACATGCACTATTATGGATTAAGAATGTTCCTGCATCGTTTCTATTTTCACTTTGATGTATCTGCATGGGAATTAGGGAGGGGGGAAAACCCTCAGGGGCATCTGTTTTAACTCATGCCGGCTAGCAAGGACAAGGTGCCAGAGAACGGATGGTTATCATCTTTTCAGCTCAAAGTTTTCACAACATCTTCATGCCAGCTGATTGGCTCCTGATGGACTGGGGGGCATTGGGGTGGGGGTGAAGAGATGGAACTTTTAGCTTAAAGCTTTTGCACGGGAACTTCAGATTCCGCCTTACTTCTCTGCAATCACTTTCTCTCAGTAAAAGATCCTTTTGAAATGATGTGTTTCAAGAGTTGTACTTTCCTGAATGAGTAGCTGAGGCAGGACATTACATTAGGTGGAATCTGCAAAGTGGTCAACCCGGAGAGGCGTCCGCCCTACCGTGGGGGCCATGCGAGAGATCTCTAACCAAGGCAACCATCGAGTGCTTGGGGAAGATAATGCTAAAGCTCACCCCAGCACAACCTACACCGAAGGGACAGAGGGAGCTGCCAGCCTGGAGGACTCCTCAAAACCAAGGAGGTCCATTGGTGTGGGGAAGAAGGAAGACTGGGAGAGGAGGACGAAAGGAATCATCCTCACCTGAGGCAGCCACCAGCCCAAATGGAGAGGAGTTAGAGGTGCTTGATGACGATGATGAGGAACCTGACCACGCTGATGCCCTCACTTGATTAAGTGATGCGCTTCATGATGAAGCGTTCCAAGACCTAAAGGCGCGAAGCTCTAACCAGAGCAATGAGGGACGATGACCAATGAGACCAGACTGCGAATGGGGGAGAACCCTCTCCCTGGAGCACTGCGACGGGCACAGACAGAACCTCAGATGGACCAGCAGCCGCCAGTGCTGGGACCCCAATGCCGTGGGACTCTGTAAGAGCAAACGCTCCAAGAACTGGAGATTGGGGGGTCACCAATGTGAACATAAAGCACGCCCCCTTGGAGTGAAATTCGACAGACCCCCAGCAACTCAGATTTTTCCTGGCCCATGTTCTCACTTACATGCAAGAGTATGGCTACGAGATCCCCACTGAGGCAGGCAATGTCAGGGTGGTCAGCCTGGCATTGGAGGGCACTGCCACCAGATAGATGGTGACCCTCCACAACTCAAATGCCCTAGAGCTGCAAAACTTCAACCGCTTCATGACAACCCTAAGACCATGCTTCAAAATCCCCTTGGCCAACAGCAAAGCTCAAAATCACATTAAGACGATGAGGCAAGTACGTTGCCCAATAGCTGAATACACTGAGGAATTTCGGGGGTTGTCAACTCAACTGGCCAGAGGAAATCCTTGTGAGCTGTTTCAAGGATGGCCTAAACAATGACCTATACAATCCCTGTATTGCAAGGGGGGCCCCACATGCCTCCACGACTGGTGCGTGCTAATTGAGGAAGCCAAAACTGACCAAGCCCGTAATAAGTAAAGCTCCAGCAAAGTTTGGAAAAGGTCATCCCGAGATGAAGAGGGAAACAACCAGACCTCAACGCCAGCCGGTACATTCCACTGCTTGCTTCAAGTGTGGGAAGGAAGGCCAGTGAGTGGCTAAATGCAGGGCAAAGACCCCAGCCAAGAAGGGAGAGCATGCACCAAGCAGGAAAACCACCAAATCGCAGCCTCGCATGAAGAAGACTGCCTTGAAGAGCACCAGGGTCATGGAGTTCAACCCCTCGCCCAAATGGAGGGAGGGAACTCCAACCCCACCGGAACAAGAGCAAGGGTTCTCAGACACAGACTACAAGGACGACCCCTTGGTAAGTGGACCAATCATACCAGTGACCATGCCTATAGAACTACACCTCATTGATACTGAGCAGGATGCTTCTCTAAAAGCCCTGCTAAACTCGAGATATACCAGATGCCTGGTTAGCCCAGCCTTAGTGGAGAAGTTAGGAATCCACTTGAGAAGGCTTAAAAAAAACCCATCGCCTTCTGCCATTTAGATGGGCCAGTTGCAGGAGCATCCTGGCCACTTTCGCCACTGTGCCCCTGGGAATGAAAACGGGAGCCCACTCAGAGACTTTAAGTTTCATAGTAGCACTGGGAATGGAGAGGCCAGTTGTCTGGGGTTAGCATGGCTGAAGAAATGGAACCCATGGGTGGACTAGAAGAGGGGACTCCTAAAATTCTCAGGAAGGAGTAGACCCCCAAAGTGCGATGAGCACTGTGCCACTCACCTGAGGAGCCCCCACCAAGCAGTGGCAGCTGCGAGGGGAGAACAAATACCAGACATACTAAAAGAATTTCAGGACCTCAGAGATGTATTTAGTGAGTGTGGATCGGATGAACTTCCTCACCGACCCACCGACTATGCTATCAAAATCGTCCCAGGGGCCAAGTTGCTGAAATCCAAACTTTACTTGATGACCCCTAGGGATCTAGATGAACTGATTGTGCTTTCATCAAAAAACCTGATTGATGCTTTCATCAAAAAAACTGATTGATGCTTTCATCAATAAAAATCTAGCCCAGGGGTTCATCCAACCAGCCCAACCTAGGGTGGCGGCTCCTGTCCTATTCCGAGAAAAGAAGGATGGCTCTCTTCGTCTGTGTGAATTATAGAGGATTGAATGCAGTGTGCGTGGAGAATGTGTACGCCCTTACCCTTATGAAGAACATACTAGCCCACCTAGACAAAAGGATTTTTTTTTTCAAAATTAGACTTGCGGGAGGCTTATTACCGTGTCAGAATCAAGGAAGGGGATGAATGGAAAACCGCTTTCAACTACCTGCTAAGCTGCCTCCAGTTTAAAGTGCACCCCCCTTTGGGCTGCAAGGAGCACCCTCAGTGTTCATGCAACTGATGAGGTGTTACATGAACATTTATAGAAGGGGGTCCTAGTGTACTTGATGACATCCTTATTTACACAGAAACGAAAGCGGAGCATATAAAGATGGTCACAGCCATATGAAAAAATTCTGCACAGCCTAATTGTACGGAGTTTCACAAAGAAAAAGTCGACTACCTGGGCTATCATATCTCTCACGAGAGGGTTGAGATGGATCCCAAGGAGATGCAGGCGGTGCTGGAGTGGGCGCCTTCCTGAACCAGGAAACAATTGCAAAGCTTCTTGGGGTTTGCCAACTTTTACTGACAGTTCATCCCCTTGTTCGCTCAGATAGCCCTTCCCACCATCAACCTGCTAAAAACAAAAGGGGAGGACAAACCAAAACCCAGCCAACCCTTGAAATGGACTATGAAATGCCAGGCAGCATTCAAAAAGCTCAAAAGACTTTTCTTTGCTGAGCCGGTGCTAAAAGACCCAGACCCTGGGAAACCTTTTGTCATCCAGGCCGACGCCAGCAATGTTGCAGTGGGGGCTGTGCTATTGCAAGAAAATGAGGGGGGGGATTACAACCATGTACGTACACATCAAATTTGCAGAGGACACTAAGTTGGCAGGAATAGCCAACACTCCAGAAGACAGGCTTAAGATACAGAAGGATCTTGACAGACTTGAACATTGGGCGCTATCTAACAAAATGAAATTCAGTGGTGAAAAAAGTAAGGTTCTACATTTAGGCAAGAAAAACCAAATGCACAGGTATAGTATAGGTGGTACCTTACTAAATAGTAGCAACTGTGAGAGGGATCTTGGAGTCCTAGTGGACAATCACTTAAATATGAGCCAGCAGTGTCCTGCAGCTGCCAAAAAAGCCAGTGCTAGGCTGCATTAACAGAGGGATAGAATCAAGATCACATGAAGCGTTAATACCACTTTAAAATGCCTTGGTAAGGCCACACTTGGAATACTGCATCCAGTTTTGGTCACCACAATGTAAAAAAGATGTTGAGACTCTAGAAAGAGTACAGAGAAGAGCAACAAAGATAGTCAGGGGACTGGAGGCTAAAACATATAAGGAACGGTTGCTGGAATTGGGTATGTCTAGTCTAATGAAGAGGGGTGACATGATAGCAGCATTCCAATATCTCAGGGGCTGTCACAAAGAAGAGGGAATCAAGCTATTCTCCAAAGCACCTGAAGGCAGGACAAGAAGCAACTGATGGAAACTAACCAAAGATAGAAGCAACACAGAACTAAGGAGAAATTTTCTGATAGTGTCAGGACCCACTTCAACTGATCACCCAAGAAAGCAGAACTCTTGAAACAGGCATTGTCTCAAAAGGAAACTTTTATTAGGAACTAGTGATACCAGGGAATTCAGATCAATATCTGAAGAAAAGCCCACGTGAATAATATAATTAAGCAAGCAATATACCCCCTCCCACAAAAGTCATAATGTCAGTTTGAAATTCAGCCAATCCACAGATGGCTTGGTGTGTGGTTAAAGGTCTTCTCCAGCTTTTGTTTCCTTATAACTGTCTCCCAGATAAGGAGACACATTCTATTCTCAAAAGGAGGAGGTCAGACAAAGGAGAAAGTGAAAGTTAACACTATGAATCCCCCATGCACTCCCTCTCCCAACAATAATGGCAGGCTGCACAAGGATAAAAGAAAGGAGAGAGCAGATGAGGAGTTTTGGAGTCTGACAGACAGTTAGAACAATTAATCAGTGGAACAACCTGCCTCCAGAAGCTGTGAATGCTCCAACACTGGACGTTTTTAAGAAGAGACTGGACAGCCATTTGTCTGAAATAGTATAGGGTTTCCTGCCTGAGCTGGGAGTTGGACTAGATGACCTCCAAGGTCCCTTCCAACATTATTATTATTATTATTATTATTATTATTATTATTATTATTATTATTATTATTATTACTACTACTACTACTATTATTATTATTATTATTATTATTATTATTATTACTATTATTATTATCATCATCATCATATCATT